TGGAGTAAGTGGTGGTACTACTGAGAGAGTAGAGCTCATCAGTGAAATGCAAAAGTCTTTTCTTAATTTAATGCTGAATCTGTGATGAGACTATCGGCTCACCAAAAAATCTGCTAAATGAAGTAATTTGTTTTAAATGATTATTTCTGAGGAAGACATGCTTGGTAAAAATCCACCCTGCTAACGGAGGGATCAGAGATTCATCAGGACAGGAAACACTGGTTCACCCAGCAGTTCTAGTTAAGAAAAGAGTCTACTGCAACTTTGTCATGATGCTTGGCATTGTTTGCTCCAACTAGGAGCTTTATCATTGTTAGAAATCCAGAACATTTAGTTTAAAGCGGGTGATACAATATGTAGTTTTCATAGGGCTCATGTAACCTCATGGCCTCATGAGTAATACCAATGGCCTCACCAGAGACTCAGCTTTGTTTCAGACCACCACACCCTATTGCCTCCTACTCCCAGCCTGAGTTTCAGAACAGAAGAAGCTTTTTGGATGAAAGGTGAAATGTCTTCAAGGATAACAGGAAAGGTCCAGTTGTTTCCAACTAAACCTTCAGCAGGAACGGAAACATAAAGAGTTGTCAAAGAAGGAAAAAAAAAGCAACATCAAAAAATGCAGCAGAAATCCCTCCAAAACGACATAATCAACGGGGGTTTGTTGTCTCACATTATACCATAAAAATGATGCTCATTCTGGTTACTGAACACCATCTTGGATCACACAGCAGCTCTCAGTCTTCCAACTCGATTAGATTACACCACAATTTGACAGAAAAAACATGTAAATTTTATTGATGTCTGTAGACACCTTTGGCTGCTGATCACTCTCTGCTGAAGCTGCTGTGATCTGCTGATATCTTAGCAAAGTCCTGAAAGGACTGAATTTCTATGGAGACACAACAGCTTAAAGGACTGAGCCATGGCATCTACCAGTAGGGCTGCAACAAACGATTATTTGGACCATCGATGAATCGGATGGGGTCTTGACTCGATTAACCAATTAATCCAATTAAACGGGACAATAAAAAAATTGCTAGGGAAATGTTTTTTCTCTCCTTCGTTTACTTAAACAACAGAACATGATTAGAAAACAAACTATTCTTTGGCTCAAGGAGACAAAAATGGAACTTTCTGGAAGATGAGCATCCTGTTTCATCTGTAGTCAAACTAACAAACATCCCAACAGTCAGACAGGGTAGAGGAAGAGTGATGGTTTGGAGCCGTTTTACTGTTTCAGAATCTGGACCACGCTGTAATGGAACCATGAATTTGGCTATCTAGCAATAAATGCTGAAGGAGAACATCTGACCTTTGACCTTAAACAGGCCGTTCTTACTAAAAATTCCTCCAAAGTAGCTGAATTATACCAATTTTACAAAGAAGATTGGGACAGAATTCCTCTACGGTGATGTGGGAGACTCATTTATCACAAACATGTGACCACATGTGACCAAAGTGTGTTGGAAGCAGTTTTCACTGGCCCAGGTTGGTTTGCAGAGCATATTCTTTTTAACAAATTAAATATTCATTTGACAACTGATATGGGCATTGGTTTGCGTATTTGAAACATTTAAACTTTTTTCACAGCAATGAAACAAGTTTATTCCAAATCCAGATTTTAGCTGGAGGAGGAGAAATTAATCAGTTTTTGGGATTCCAATACAAATGTTTTCCCCGCTGAAGTGTGTGATTACGTATTACATAAATGAAACAGCATTGCTGCTCCTGACTAACCAGTGAACACCATCTGGATGCTATAATCCTGTATGTTCAGAGAGCTCAAACAGGGAAAGAGAAAGACATCTGTTAATGTTGCATAATGTTTGCATTTAGCATGACTATGTCATGGAAAATGGAATACTACATGAAAAGATCTGCCACATTAAAACAGTAATTTGCAAATTCAGCATATGCACAAACATTGCTAAAAGAATCACTCACACACACACACACACACACACACACACACACACACACACACACACACACACACACACACACACACACACACACACACACACACACACACACACACACACACACACACACACACACACACACACACACACACACACACACACACACACACACACACACACACACACACACACACACGAGAGCATGAGTGCAGATGCTGGCGGTAAATGGAGAGAATAAATTAATGAGCCTTCTTTGCATTAAGCCAGGTTTATTTGTGACAGATACAGTGACTCTTGCGTGTGACTCATAATTAAATGAACGGGACGAAAAGATGCTCAGAAACTGTGATTATGTGTTTGTACATTAAAACCGTTTAGAAACAAAATCTTTAAACACGTTTTAACCTAAGAGGTTCCCTGCAGGCCCAATTATAAAACGCATTAGGGTTTTGGGTGCATCTATTTTTTTCTAACATGTTTGTTTCAACCTGTTAGATTAGCATTAGCTTATTTAGATGAAAAATGAAAACACACAGGAACACAGAAAACTAAGGAGAGAAGGAGATGGGAGCAGGAAACGGGCAAAGAGAAGCCTTGTGAGGATCGAGGTAAAAATATGAAGAGTTCAAATGGCTTAAACACACAGCAGGATGGTCTTTGTCACCTCTGGCAGGAGAGGTAAGATAACACGTCAAAGATGAGACACAAGTGCAAAGGTGGCTGGTGGACCTCGTTCACCTCTCTAGTTTTCAGATCGTAGTGATACAATCTGTGTGTGTTTGCGTGTGTGTAGGGGACATTTGATCACACCGTATCCTTCAGTCCTTTCATCTTCCAGCAGGTCTCTGCTGTGTCGTGTCTACAGCAGCTCTTTGCTGAATGATTGAAAGGAAACATCTTTTTCTGTCTCTTCCTAAAGAGAGTTGTGTTCCTTCTCAAAACTAGATAACTATTAGCTACAGCATGTTTTGAAATGGCCTGTGTTTGATGTAGTGCCTTCTAGGGTTCTACAACCCCCCAAGGCACTTAACACAACCAGTCATTCACCCAGGCTCACATATATTCACACTGCTGCTTCTGTTGGACAATCAAAAGACTATCACAGATTTTGTTGTGAGATGAGGAGAGGTTAGATCTACAACGGTGAAGTTCTGAAATCACAATGGTAGCTTGATGCCAAGAAGCCATAAACTCCATCATGTCCATCTGTTGATATTCACCGCATCATTAACCCGGAGCTTTAGAAAATGCTCAGCAACAGCATAGCTGTCATACTGAGGGAGAACACATGCAATTGCTCTTCAGTATTCTGGAACAAAAGGCCTACAGCCAAACTCAAAACAACTTGGGCAACTTTGTTATTCCTGGTATTATTTTCCAGCCGGTGCCTCCAGCATCTGTCTGATCTGCTAACAACTGTCAATTTCAGGGTTTCAATGTGAAAGGCTGCCTTTGTTAATGGTACAATTATGGAGTTAATTTACTAATCAGTCCAAAAAGTAATTAAAAAAAACAGCCAAAAAACAAAAGTAAAGTTGAAAGCAAATTTTGAAAAACTGCAAACAAAAACTGAAAATTTTCTTTGAGCGTCTCCATTTTTTGCTCTGAAAAACGTTTTTTCCAATTGAAAACTAGTCATGTGGGCGGAGCCTTGTTATGGCTGATGAAAGACCTCTCCATTGGCCAGTGTCACAGATGTGACCCCAGTTTATTTGTGAAGTCACCAAGTGCTCGTCCACAGACACTGGTCAGAAGACAAAGTTAATTGTAATTTTACAAATTCCGTTTTGCAACACAACACCATGTTTTAGTGGTTGTCCAACAGGAAATAATTTCTGGGTGCAGACCATCAACATATATACACGGTAGAGCTACTCCAAAGTAAAGTGACTTGCTTAGTAATGAAATCATAACTATGTAAGCTGACCAAGGATATCAGGCTTCGCTGGTCCACCGCGGTCAAAGATCTGTGAGTCCGCTGTTGTTGACAGTCCCAAATGACTGAGCGGTGATATGGTAAACGCATAGAATTTTCCCACATTCAACCAGAAAACTATTAGCAAGGAAAATGTAGTTGAGCAACTGAAAAGTGTTTCTGTGGTCTCCCTCAGAGATCCACAAATGACCAGCATGACTTCAGCCTCACATCGGAGCTGGTCCGCGAGTCTCGGCTGCCCCGGGAAAGTTCCCGGGCAGGAGACAAGAGAAGCCCGGCACCTGGTCAAGTTTCTTATGCAGCTCCACTAACATGTTTGACCAAGAAGTTGAATGTCACAGCATTTCCCCCATTCAACCAGCAAAATAAAGTACAGATAAATCCTTTTACTTACTGATTAAAGAAGCAGTAACTGCTTGGATGATCTGTTAGAGCAGTCAATAACCACAGCTTGCCCTCTTTGTCCTACTAATTCCATGATTAACGTCCAAACATGAACACAAACACACAGACAAAACTAAAGCTCAGAGAGTCAAAATGGCCAAACATCTATTAATGTTAAGCTCCACACTAGTTCTACTCCAAAGAGACACTCAGGGACAACTCTTGATTTTGCTTTTCATCTACTTTTATTTTTCAACTCTGAGATTTGTTGGTTTCAAGTTGATCAATGCATGATTTCATCAGGTTGATAACCTTCAAAGCACAGAAACAAAGGTTAGCAACAATATTTTGTAAATAAATATTTTTAAAATAAATAAAATGAATAAATGAATTAAACATTTCAGATAAATTAACCATTTTAAATTAAATGAAAGAATTAACTGTGAAGTGCTTCAAAAGAATAGAACTCCCTTAATGAATTAAGTTAAATCAAGGAATCAATCAGTAAAGGGAACGCCTTAACTGAGTATTTCATCAAGTACCACATCAAGTAACAAAATAAATCAACTGCCTTCAAGCTTGTTCATGTACGCTTTTAACCTTTTACCTTGCTAAACACACAAATTAACTATCCAACAATCACTCACTTCAATCAAATCACTATGAGTGCTTCAACTTACTCTGACACTTAAACAGAATACTCTCCAGGTACAACTTAAGAACGTTACTAACATAAACCAGAAATTTTTACCAACCATTGGCATCTTTAGAGTAAAGTTCATGAGTAGAGCTTGCTGTGCTGTTCCTGTTTGACCGAGGACTGAGAGCCACCATCCCGCATAGGTGTTTTTCATCAGCAATCAGTCGCCTTTTTGTTGGTGCATTCTGGGAGATATAGTTCTCAGTGGTGGTGGACCAATTAGACCTCCATTAACTCAGCTTTAACCCAACAATTAACGTGAGGCCGAGGCCCAGGCTGAAGCTTTTTCCTGGAGCTATCTATGAAAACATGTGGCTCTGAAGCTATTCAGAAATTTAAGCATTAAATTCCACTTGAACAGAATAGTTACAAAAACATATTACCCCCCTCAGAGTGTAAACTGATCTATTAAACCTAAAATGTTTTTTTTTCTTAACCATGCTGTAAACATGTTTATTTCAGCTGTGAAAATGGCATTTTTAATATGGAAGTCAATGAGGATTTGTGGATTTCTGGTGCCAGCCCCTAGCGGATGAGGGTGGAACTGCAATTTTTGCAACTTCTGTGTTGGCTTCATTTTTTCCCAGAATTATGGAGGCCTAATGCAGACCCCAAAACTCTTGCTCATGAAAATACATCCTAGAAATACAACATAAATATGTGGAGTAAGAATTTTTATTTAACTACAGTTCTGTTCAAAACTTGCCTAAAAATATTTATTTTTTAAGCTCTAGCTCTGATTAGCCCTTCAGTATGAGGTTAAAATGAGCTAATTAACAAATTCACTCTTCATTTAGATTGCATCGTCAGCATGAAACAGCTGCAGCAGGCTGATGTCAACAACTCAGAGAAAGAGAGAAGCTTTTGAAGGTAACCACACTGATGTCAGAACGAAAGCTTTCACTTGATTTCACCACAAACATCCACAAACATTTGCTCTGTTGTTTGTGAAGAGAAAAGAAGTGACACTGAATTGTAACGTGATGAAACATTTTCATTTTTACATGAAATGGAGCAAGTAAACCACAGCTTCAAACAGAGAAATAGCTTTATTAGCTTGATTTTAAAAAGCTGCAAGCGTCTCATTACTCGGTGAGGTTTTTGTTTCATATCTGACTGCTCTTGTTTTTAAACTGGAAGAAACAAGGTTGCTACTCCTCTGATTTTTGTAAGTACAGGAACAAGCCAAGAACAATTCTTTAAGGCTTTTCAAAGCACATATATCACACAGGCTCTGCGCACAGCAGCATTTAACGTTTCTTATACCATCCCCAGAGTAGTTCTGACTTCTGCAGCCTCTGCCACAGATTGAGCCTGCACAGCAGGAGTCAAGAGAAGAATGTGAACAAGGTCAATAGGATGGTTTTCTACAAATGATCTTCTGGTGATTACAGCCTGATGCTTGTTCAGATGGATTATCTCAGGAAAATAAGTCAACCAGCTGCATCCTGGCTGGTGAGCAGAAAAAATCCTGCAGGTCTCATAATCAAACATGACGGTTCATCATTCTGCTTAATGGCTTTGTGTTAAACAGAGTGAGAGTTGGCAGAGAGAATAAAAGGCACACAGTAAGGGGATATGTTGGCCTTTGTTCGATTTGAAACCTTTTACACATTGGGGAGCTGAGGGGTGTTTGACAGCTGGTCTGCTGTCCACCTGCAGGTCGTGTTAGTAGATGTGAAGGTTGCAGCTTTGATTCTAACCAGCCAGGTGGGTGTTGGCTGAGGATAAATACACTTTTATTGTACTTTTGCGTATTTGTGATTGCTGCCTTTGTTACGAGAAGCAATTGTGCTCAGAAATATCAAAACCTGAAATCATTTTGCAATAAATAATTAAATATTTCCATCAGGTCTTTAATCTCGGTAGCGTGTGATCCTGAATGCCAAGAGCTGCCTGCTCCCTAACAATGACTGTTCTTTTGGAGGAGAGCCACCTCCCCAACTCCACTTTTCTATAGTAAAAAAACACTTTCACCTATTTTATGGACCTTTTTAAATACTTGCTCTAAGCACATTACAGCAATTACAAAATAGATTACCATGAAATATAGTGGAAGTTATCTTGCTATTCAGTGAATTAATCTTTGTAACTTTGCTAATCATCTTAATTTGACTCAAATGGAAGAGTGGTGAACAATAACTGCCTCTTCACAACTGAACTGGACATAAAAATGCATTTATGGATCTCCTTTTCAAATCTGCTACGACTGACCTAAAAATCATTATGAGAATATATTAAAACAGTTCCACAGACAGGTCACAAAACTAACAGATGTTATAGGATCAAAATGCAAAACATAAATTTATCACTTTGATTTACATCAAGTGGAGTATTATCTAGGGCCTGTGTGTCTATCACCATGTTTTTGTGTTTTTCAGCTTGCTGGAAAATGAAATTTATGCTCCTAGATATCCCAGAATTCATTGCGCTGCTCTTTTAATTGGCCCCATTGGATGCTAATGCTGTAACCAAATCAAAACAAGTCCACTCCAAGCTTAAACTGAAGCTGTGTAATTTGTTTGTTGTTACTAAAAAAATCTACTAGAGATAAAAAAATACTAAAGAAATCTTGAGTCCGTTAAGGCTAAAATCTAACATAAACTAAGACGAAATGCTTAAATTCAATTGTATAAACGGCCTACTGTGTGTAAAGACAATTTTAAATGTTAAAACAGATGTCAGTGGCTCCTTAAGGTTACCATGGCAGCCACACAACAGAGATGTGACAGTTCACAAAGACATGTAATTTCCAGTTCAGAAGGGATTTTTTAACATTTGGAAATAGTGTGACATCATCAAATGTCAGTTCTCCAAAAACTGTTGCACCAACTGCGCCACCACGCAGCCCTAAAATCTAGTATGATCCAGTCACATGAAGAAGAAGAAGAAGAAGAAGAACAAGAACAAGAACAAGAAGAAATGTCATTTCTATAGCGCCTCTCAAGATAAAAATCACGAGGCGCTTCACAAAAACAAAAAATGTAAAAATATAAAAAAGAATGAAGAAAATGTTTAAAAATATATTTAAAATGAGCAAAAAATACACATTTGTGATTAAAAAATGTAAAGAAAGAGAGAGAGAGAGTGAATAGGAAAGAGGGAAATCAGTGGATCCTGAGGAAGGTGGAATAGGTGGGGAGAGTAGAATAAAGAGAGAGTGGTGAAGAAGGTCATACAAAAGCCAGCTTGAACAAGTGAGTCTTCAGCTGCTTTTTAAAGGAGTCCACTGAGTCCACTGATCTCAGGCTCAGGGAGAGAGAGTTCCAGAGTCTGGGGACCACAGCAGCAAATTATCTGTCACCTTTGGTCTTTTGCCTGGTGCACTGCACAACCAGTAGGTTTTGATCACTGGACCTCAGGGACCTGCTGGGGGTGTAGGGACTAAGAAGATCACCAATGTAAGATGGTGCTTGTCCATGTAAGGCCCTATAGACCAGAACCAGGATCTTGAAATGAACCCTGAAGTTGACTGGCAGCCAGTGAAGCTGGAGGAGAAGCGGGGTGATGTGGGTGTGTTTGGAGGACTTTGTCAGAAGCCGAGCACAGGCATTCTGAACCACCTGCAGACGGTTGAGGGAAGTTTTGCTCAGACACGTGAAAAGAGAGTTACAGTAGTCTAAGCGTGAGGAGATGAAGGTGTGGATAACTGTCTCAAGTTCAGACCAGGAGAGAATGGGACTCAGCTTAGCAATGCTCCTGAGATGGAAGAAGGAAGAACGAGCAAGAGAACTGATATGAGAATCCAGGGTGAGAGCTGGGTCAAAGGCCACGCCAAGATTCCTGACAGAGGGTTTGGTGTGAGAAGCAAGCTGACCAAGTGTCTCTGACTTTGGGAACCAGCTTGTCTGGGGCACAGATGAGGATCTCAGTCTTATCTTCATTCAGCTGTAGAAAGCTCCCAGCCATCCAGGTTTTGATAGAGTCTAAGCAGGTGTGCAACAGCTGCAGCTTAGACATCTCATGGGGCTTAAAGGAGATGTACAGTTGGATGTCATCTGCATAAAGATGGTAGGAGATTCCTTTGAAGGAGCTCAGGATGTGCTGAAGAGGAAGCAGATAGAGGAGGAAGAGCAGAGGCCCCAGCACAGAACCTTGTGGGACACCATGGGTAAGGGAGGTGGTGGAGGACATAACTTGGAGACGGCCACAGAAAAGGAGCGCTCAGAAAGATAAGAGGAGAACCACTCCAGAGCAGTTCCTGAAAGGCCTACCCAGTCTCAGCCTCTCCAGTAGCAGGTGATGGTCAACAGTGTCAAAGGCTGCAGTCAGGTCCAGCAGGACCAGAACAGAAGAGTCCCCTGCATCACTGTGAGTCAGAAGGTCATTAGAGACCCTAAAGCCTGATTCATGCTTCTCAGTCTGCGTCAGTGCGGAGACACGCAACGTCCTTGCGGGCCTGCCGGAGAGCTCCGCAAGGACGGACGGAGTCGAGCTCTCTTTTCTAAACATCCATCAGTCGAGACGGACAACACAAGCTTATGATTGGTCAGGATGCCGCTGTTGTCTACAGAGCCACCATTGTGCCCTCAAAAACATAAAGAGAGCAGAGGATAACAAGCAGCAGACACGGACAAGCTTGAAGAATACCTTGCGCAAAAACTCTAAAAACATGAATGTTTAATTCTCCCGTGACTGGAGGAGTGAAAAGATATGCAGCAAGCGTTTTATTTGTGGATGGAAATGACAGGAAACGTGGGTTTCGAGTTGGTGAGCGCATGAAGAGGTGGAGGAGAATGAGAGACAAATTTGTCTGTGTTAAAAAGTCTCTTATATACAAAAAAACATAATATAAACACACTATCTTGGACCGATACATGACAGGATACCACAGAACAGCGCTACGCCCTCTGTTGTCCTGCCGGGGAATTGCTTTGCAACACTCTCCAGGAGACGGAGAAGTATGAGAGCAAAACACTTGTGTCAATCTGTGCGTGTCTGTCCCTTGCGGAGCTGACGGAAAAGCATGAATCAGTCTTTAGAAGAGCTGTTTCAGTAGAATGAGCTCTACGAAAACCTGACTGGAAGCAATCATAGATGTTACATTCATCAAGAGCAGCTGTGAGTTGTTTAGCCACAACCTTTTCCAAGATCTTGGGAGATGAACGGAAGTTTAGAGATGGGTCTGAAGCTGCTAAGGAGAGAGGCGTCAAGACTCGGTTTCTTAAGAAGCGGGTGATTACAGCATTCTTAAAGTAAGCAGGGACCTGACCAGAAACCAGAGAAGCATTAATTATAGAGAGCATGTTGGGACCGATGGACTGAAAAGCACTTTTAAACAAAGATGAGGGTAAGATGTCGAGTGGGCATGCAGAGGTCTTCGTAGAGTTAACTAGTTTGGTTAACTCAGGCAAAGAAACGGGAGCAAAGCTATGTAGGATGATGGGCCTGGTTGGAGTCGGGAGAGGCAGCGATAAGGCTGAAGTAGAGATGCTAGATTAGGGCTGGGCGATATGGCAAAAATAGAATATCACGATTTTTCCAATATTTTATCACGATTTCGATTTTATCACGATTTTTTATCCATGAATAGCATAACTTCAATTGCGTATTAAAGAAGAGAAACATTGAATAAATACTAACACACTTATATTTTAAACTCACACCAGAGATGATAAAAGCCCTGAGAGAAACAATTACAAAAATCTGTTTTTCTCGTTTTTCAAGTAACTTAACATAAATTAAAATTGTAAACATATTTAAAGTGCAAACATGTCAATTGCAAACGTATTGTGCAAACATTAACTTGTTCAAAAGACTATGTAGCTCCCAGTTGCTCATGTAGTGGATAGTTAAGCTCAAATACGGCTCTGATGTGCGGCTGGACCAGAGATCGCTTGTGGTAGCAAAAAACTGCGCATTCTGAATATTTTCTGCAACAAGTCTCTAAATAAAGTAAAATTTTCCAGTGCAGATTGGAGACAACCCATAGAAGCACTGATTTGATCTCATTTCAGAGAAAAATAGAACAGGTTAGATGCACCTAATAAATAAAATTACTAACAAACTCAGGAATGTTTCTTTGCTTCCCTGTTCTGATGCTGAAAATATCACTAATGCGGATCAAAGGAGATACACAGATGAATGCACCTCTTATTATTTGGAGACTACATTTACTGCAGCTGGCAGAGGCAGAGATTGTTTCTATTGATACACGGATTTACAGAATCATTTTAAATGTTAATAGGGGAAGACTGCAGGAGGGAGCGGTAAAATACAGGGGGTCCCAGCAAAAACAAGAAACTACGAGTCTGATGAAACCCGCTGGTTTTCCATCAGGCAGTCACGGGGCAGCTCCAACGACCGAGCTCAGTCCGGTACCGACACCGGCTCGGCAGAGGGTGAACGAGCCGAGGTGGCGTCGTGCTCTGCTTAAGAAGCGGTGTTATTTTCCTGCTTCAGAAGAAGCGTCCAACGTGTTTTTACGCTTTCTCCGAGACATGTCACGTCGCTAAGTTGTTAGCGCCACGCGCTAAGGAAACCCTGCGTTCCTCTTCGGAACGAAAACCTCGTTGTTGCTCAGCCGCGGCGAAGCCATGTTCGTTCACACACAGGTGAAAACAAGCGGGGCACTAATATATTACTATGACTCACTCTGATTGGTTAAGGGTCAAACAAAGGCGTGTCATTCGCCTGGGGTAAGTTCCCTTTTCATTCAGAGGCAGAAATTCAACAGCAGAGCTGTGAATCGTGATAAAACGGTCTCTCAAAAATGACAGACCGTCAGATGTGTAGATCGTAAAACGGTCTAAAATCGTCATATCGCCCAGCCCTATGCTAGATCTAACTTTATTGACTTTGTCCACAAAGAAAGACAGAAAGTTCTCACAGTCTGCAACAGAGTGGATGGAGGCTGTAGGAGAGGCAGGGGAAACAATACTGCTGGTATTAAACAGCACCTTGGGGGTTCTCTTTGCTCTGGGACACCAGGTTGGAAAAATAAGAAACACTAGCGTCTCTGACTGCAGAGTTAAAGGATGTCAGAAGATCCTTTAGGTGCAGCAGATGGATGTGGAGATGGCTTTTCTTCCACAAACGCTCAATTTTTCTGCATTGGTGCTTCAGGCTGCGAAGGCTGTCATTAAACCAGGGAGTAGGGTTCAATGTAGGAACTGATCTGGTTCTGACAGGACAGATGCTGTCCAGAATGGAGAGGCAGTGCTCGTTAAACTGAGAAGTTAAGGAATCTGGGTCGTTATCAGAAGAACAAGGTGGATCAAAAGCAGCAGAAAGGTTTATAGCTGTGCTCTCATTAAGAAAATGAGAACTAACCATACGGCGAGCAGGAGGTGGGGACGCAGAAACTGACAAGTTAAAGAAAATGCAAGGGTGTTCTGAAATATAAACGTCCTCAGGACAAACACTGTCAGCATTTAGACTCAATGTAAAAACAAGGTCTAGAGTGTGCCCCCTGGTGTGTGTGGGGCCAGAAACATACTGGGTAAAGCCGAACGTGTCCATAAGGCTGGAGAAATTCATGGCAAAGTGGTCAGAGGGATCATCAATGTGGATGTTAATGTCACCAACAATCACCAGTCTGGACAGCTTCACAGTGGAGGATAGAAAGTCACTAAACTCCTGAAGGAAAGAACTGTTTGGACCAGGTGGACGATAGACCACAGCGCAGTAAGACGGGTCCTTACGCCCACCTTAAATCAGCTGCAGTTCAAAGGAAGCAAAGTGACCAGAGGTTATAGAGCTACATGGAAGACGGTCTCTGAAAACAGCTAGGCCTCCACCTTGACCAGAACCCTAGGGCTGGCTAAGAAAAGAATAACTACTCGGGCAGAGCTCAATCAGACCAGAATAATCAGATGTTTGCTGCCAAACTTCAGTCAGAAACAGA